AGTTTCAGATGTTTTATGCCTAAATAAACACAGCCAGTTATGATTTATATGTATGTGTGTGTATGAGCGTACAAGTACAGAGAAACATGAGTATGTGTATAGAGAAAGAAGGATGGTTTTGTGTTTGTGCATAGCGAGTATAATCATATGGTCACTTACACCAAAGTCACGATTAGTGTTTATTTCTGTAAACAGTTCTTTTCTTCTGCCAAAGAGAAGTAGAATATAGAACTTCCTTTTGAATTAAGAAGTTACTTTGTAAATTCAGAAGACCTCTTATTACTTGCAGCAAGACACCTTCAGTACATGGCACTTAGAAATGAGTTTATTCCAACTGATATTATTCCTTGCTAAGTATTAATTCCTGATTTAAATATAAAAGAAAAATAAATATATTAGACAGCTGAAGCATGTACTGTATGATGTTATAAAGATAACAGGTTATGTATTGAAACAGTAAATGAAAATAATCTTTTGACCTTGGGATCGTAGAAATTAGAGGAAAGTTTTCCAGACCAATACTTTCACCTGTCTGAGGCCTGCTTCACCATGAAGTACATCAAACTGCAACTGAATCATGAAAGTAATTCTGCTTTATTGAAGTTAAGAAAAGGTACTTCTCAGTCATTAGGTGCAAGATGAATTGTTTGAGATATGTTCATCCCATTGATTGCTGGCTTAGAGATTAGCAGTCAAGTAGTGTTCATGATTGAATCGTAGAATGGTTTAGGTTGGGAGACCTGTAAAGGTCATCTAGTTGAAACTGCAATGATCAGGAACATCTTCAACTAGACCAGATTGCTCAGATCCCCATCCAACCTGACCTTGAATGTTTCCAGGGATGGATCATCTGCCACCTCTTTGGGAAACCTATTCCAGTGTTTTCCCGCCCTCACCATAAATCATTTCTTTCTTACATTTAGTCTGAATCTTTTTTCCTTTAGTTTAAAACCATTACCCCTTGTCCTGTTGCTACAGGCCCTACTGAAAAGTTTGCCCCCATTTTTCTCATAAGCCCCTTTTAAGTATTGAAAGGCTGCTATAAGATCTCTCTGGAGCCTTCTCTTCTCCACGCTGAACAACCCCAACTCTCTGAGTTGTCCTCATAGAAAGAGGTATTCCAGCCCTCTGATCATTTTCATGGCCTTCCTCTGGACCTACTCCAACAGGTCCATGTCTTTCCTGTACTAAGGAATCCAGAGCTGGACACAGTACTTCAGGTGGGGTCTCACCAGAGCGAAGTAGAGGGAGAGAACCCCCTCCCTCAACCTGCTGGCCACACTTCTCTTGATGCAACCCAGGACGTGGTTGGCTTTCTGGGCTGTGAGTGCACATTGCCAGCTCATGCCCAACTTTTCATCCACCAGTACCCCCAAGTCCTTCTCCACAGGGCTGCTCTCAATCCCTTCATCCTCCAGTCTGTATTGATACAAGGGATTGCTCCAACCCAGGTACAGGACCTTGCACTTGGCCTTGTTGAACCTCCTGAGATTCACATGGGCCCACTTATCAAGCTTGTCCAGGTCCCTCTGGATAGTACCCTGTCCGTTAGGCATTTCACCTGCACCACTCAGGTTAGTGTCACCTGCAAATTTGCTGAGGGTGTACTTGATCCCCCTGTGTCATTGATGAAGATGCTAAATAATACTGGTCCCAGTGTTGACCCCTGAGGGACACCTCTCATCACTGATCTCCATCTGGACATTCAGCCATTGACCACTACTCTCTGGATGCAGCATTTCATTTAATCTGTATAACTGAATGAATGTTTAATAAAAATTTGAAAACTATTAGAATTATAAAAAACAAAACTACTATTTCAGAGACTAATTATGGCAAGAGATATGATGTAGGGAAATAAAGACAGGTTAGCCTTGTTTCGCTCCTAACCAGGTATAACGCAGTGCTTTGTTTGGTACACTCTTCAGCAAAAATAATGAATTTGTTACTAATGCTGGTTAGTGTGATTTTGTAGGTAGTAGGTAATTGTGTTGCCTTGGGGAACCTGGAGGGAGAGGATGATATGGGTTTAAAAAGGGTTGACTTTTTTGGTTTATAAGAATTAACTGATTTGATACAGTGTGTAGTAGATTTGTATCAAACATTTCTTTAAAATCCACTGACATTCTTATTTTTAATTTTTTTAAGTCTTTATAAGAAAATAATAGGGTACATGAGAACAGACTACAAATAATTTTAATTTAATACCTAAGTGGCCACAATGCAAAAAAAAAAAAAAAACAAACTTGTAATACAACTAAGTACCAGGTTATACAATTGGAAATCAGAAATGCAGGTTGTAGCTGCAGGATAGTACAACTGCTGAATATCATTTTGGAGAGAAGTGACTAAGAGGTGGGGGTTTGGTCCATGTTGCCTAGCTTTAGAAGAAATAATGGCAACATGGAATCCAACTTGGTACTTCAGCAATTTCACTAAAACATTCTTCAGAAACTGTGGAGATAAAAGCTTAACATTTTGGAGAATGAACTACTTTTCAAAATATGCTATTTAGGATTGAAATACTTTTTTGGTTTTGTATGCAACATTGGCAATGCTGTTTCTGAAAGAGAAAAAGCAATTGCATATTGTTTGTTTTCTACTTGTGCATTTTGGCCCTTCAAAATGGTGGTAAATAGGCAGGGGAGGAGATAATACCTGCTCTGGAAGTACCTCTCTGTGTTGAAGGAGGGAGGACAGCTTCCAGGCTGCAGGAAGCAGCAAGAATAGAGAGCAGGAGCAAGAGGAGATCCTGCAGCCTAGTAGTGGGACAGAGAGAGCACCGAGACAAGCATGGAGCAGACAGTGCTGTGCCTCTGTAGTAACAAAAACTTTCCAGGGACAGGAGGCAACTGCATAATTAACTAAAAACCAACTGCTGTGTTATATGAAACCTGAGTGCAGATTTACTGTGTGCAAAGACCTATGCTTCAAAGATGTAGGGGCCATGTACAGACTGATCTGTAGTCCCTTGTTTTGATTCTGCTCTACCTTATCAATTTGACATTTTCCTGTTTACAAGAAGTCAGTTATTTCTAGTTCTGTTCCAGTAAATCTGGCCTGTGAGTATAGCCTGGCTATTCTATCAGTCTGTCCTTGTGTCTTCATCTTTAGCACGCAGGCTTTTTGGATTACCTTTCTCATCTACGTAACTTCTGAAGTGAGCCTAGGAATAAAATGTAGAAAATGTGGAGTTTATAAGGAGCCAAGTATCAAAGTCCTTTACTGACCTAGTGCTAATCGTAGACAGAACTTGAAAAAACATTTTAGAATTAGGCTCTCTAGGAGGACCTTCTGTGTTCTGTACAAAAACCTCTTTCCACTGGGAGGAAAAAAAAAAAGGGGGGGTGGCGTGGTGAATAATTGTCACTAGTTAATTTGTTCTTCATTCCACAACAGCTTAACATAACTAAGAGTAAGCACGTCCCTCTTACAGGAAAAACTTCTGATGTGCTAGGCTTTGTTACTCATAAGTGCCATTCATAACCCCCTCTTGCTGTGGTGTTGTCGTCACTACATTCTAGCACTCTTAAGTATTTTAAATGTGTAACCTTTATTTACATGTGTGTTGTTCCTGCTGTACAACTTGTATAAGAAAACACTGCAGTATCCTTGATTAGTGTTGTAATGCAGTTTACTTAGAATACTATCCCCAATTTATATAAAAGCAATAGAGCTACTTGGGTTAAAAATGTCTCTTTATCCTTCACCTATGATTTTCTCCTCAGGATGGAAAATTAGAACTGTACTCTTGTGTTAAAGCTGGTGATCTAGCTTCTTCCATGCTGTTGAAAATTCAGACCTACTGCTGTAGGTGGTCATTTGAATACCTTTACAGTGGCAGTCGTGTTTTTCTAGTGCTTTTCACAAGCTGTGTGTGCATATGCACAAATGAAAACTAAGTTCCAAAGAAGTCGTCACCCACAATTTCAAATCTATGCTTAAAAAAGGCTGCTGTATTGTGAGTTAGGGTAGTAAAGATGAGAACTGAGGTACAGAAATGAGCTGCAGGGAGCTTGTATGCCATGTTCCTGCATTGTAATAATTTTTGCTATTCATTGACTTTGAATACTGAATCTATCAGAACTTAATTTTCTTTGAAAAAAAGTGGGACATACAGATTCTAACACCAGAAAAACTTGAAGCAGTTATCAGTTATTTTCTGTGGTAACCATTAGACTGTCACAATTAGGCATGAGCTAAAGTTCAAGAAATTCCATTTAAACATACAAAAGAGCTTTTTTGCACCGAGGGAGGTCAAGCAGTGGCTGCCCAGACAGATTGTGGGGTTTTGATTATCTTTGGATATTCAAAACCTGACTGGACAGTGCTCTCTGCAACATACTCTGGCCCTTCTTTGAGCAGGGGAGCTGGATGGGCTGATCTGAAGTCCTTTCAACCTGTGATTCTATGAAGACAGATATTTGATCTGATACTGGCACAATGACTTGCAAATTTTGCTTTCATCTTTGTAGTGTTATCACCTGATTATTTTTTTGTAAAATGAAATTAATTTTCATATGCAATAATTTATGCTTACTTACATATCATGTCTTTGTCACTTAACAGCTGCATTGCCAGTCTGTCTAAGAAATCCAGGATGCTAAGATTTATTACTCAGTAAATGGAATTTTGTAATACATGTAACATCTATTTGTCAGTGCCTCTGCTTCAGATTCTCTTTGTGTGGTTCTCATGGTTAAATATTAGAATGTTAAAAATACAAATGAGGGTTCTTTGCTTTATTATTCACATCCTTGACATACTTCTAATGGGGTCTTAAAATAAAACATCTGTTATATTCTTCTGTTTTCTGCACTAATGAAAATACAAACTTTCTTAGGTTCTGTTGATTTTTTAGCCATGTACCTAGCATCAGTAAGTCAATACCTTCACTTTTATATCAGTGATTTATTACCCCTTAACTTTGATTCTGTTTATCCTGAGTGATTTAACATTCACAGAAGATTAAATTCTTGTAAATACTTTCCTCTTTGCAGTGAGGAGCTACGGAAAGAAGTACGACAGCTGAAACGTGAACTGCTGGAAGCAAAACAGAAAAAAGATGAAAGAGCTTTAAAACCCAAAGAAAAGGAAGGTAAGAGTATATTACAGCAGGTGTTGTGTAGATCTCCAGTTAATATTCCAGTTTTAAAGTTTTTTAGTAGGTCTGTGTTTCATGTGGATAAATGTGAACACTATATTGTTGAAATGGGGTGGGGGGGTGGGGGGGG